ATTGCTGCTAAAGCCTGGGGGAAGAGAAGGAAGAGAAGCAGCAGCCAATATATAGCTTCTCCATTCTTGTATTTTAGGCAGAAAAATCAGCTTCCCCACATAAGTTGCATGCCCTAATTTTGGAGGACTAATTTTGGGTGGAAAGGGGCATATTGTATGAGAGTAAATAAACTGTGTTTTTCTGAACTACCTTCTAAAACAATTTATTTTGGAGGAAATCTATCCAGCACATGCCATCATTACTGCTTCTATTGGCTCCCATAGGCGCAGAGAGAAAGGACCAACTGTGCACCAGTAACTGGACTAAGAATTTATTTCACAAAGAACAGCAGACAGCTATAAGAGGATAATTCCTTTGGGTTACTACTGACCAGAGTCCAACCCCAAACAGGAATAGGGATGAGAAAGATAAATAATATAATCATACAAACCACTAATTGTATACAAGTTCAAGTGCTGCTTGCACATCTTTCTATTTGAATCTAACAGCTAAAATGTTATTTAAAATAGACTTCTTTGAAATGGAAGACTCACCTGAAGATTGGAAATATAAAAAGAAAAGCAATGGTCATTTGGTCAGGGGAAAAAAAAAATCACTTTTTAGAGCTGCATAATATAAAAAATCTAAATGCAGATTTTATAAGGATTTTTTTAAAGAAGAAATAGATTTAATTTAATTTGTGGTAGTAAAAAGATGTTCTACTAGGTGTAAAAACTACCACCACTTAGCAATCTGATGTACAGTGAAAAATGAAGCATTTAGCTACTGGGAAAGGAACCCCAAAATATTTCAGAACCTAGGCATATCAATTCTCACTTTGCTTCGCACTTGTACACTTATACTACATATTTTATTCTACTTATAGGCTTTAACATTTCACTGATACATAGGAATGGAAAATTTCAATTGTTAGCGGAGTATGAGCTCATAATACTAGTTCCATTTTTGCCAAGATTGCGCGCACACTTGCATGTATGTGTGTGTGTGTGTGTGTGTGTGTGTGTGTGTGTGTGCACGCGCACACGCGTCCATCTGTCCGATACACAAGTGCATTTCCAACGAGGCTGAGAAAAAGGTATTTTTTCTGTATCAATTTAATAGTAATGACAAATCTTCTTTTGTAAAAGCTTTAAATAGTTCACTTTTCAGAAACGAAGTCAGCATTCCGATAGGGAAATACTAATGTCATTGTACAAAGAATTAATGAGACCTTATTTGGAATACTGTGTCCAACGGTAGTTACCCATAATAAAGAAAGATGCATTCAAACCAGAACAGGTGCAGGAAATTGTACAAGGATGATCAGGAGAATGGAGAGTCTGTCTAAAAATACATGACTGAAAAGGAAGAGAGGGATGAGAAGCAACGACAAGTCTCTAGGAGCAGAAGGGAAGGGTTCAGGATATAGAGGTTGTCTTATTTTCAAGCTCAGTGAAAACATGAATACTGGAGATGAATGCCTAGCTGTGCAAATGGTGCTGTGACCATTGGACAGAGTTCTGAGAAGAAAAAATGGTGGGAAGAAAGGAAGAATAGAATCCTAGGACATCAATTTGCCAGTCAAGCAAGGAGGGCTTTAAACTAGATTTGATGGGAGCAGTGACAAAAAGCCTGTAGGTATGTTAAAGGACAAAATTACCTAGTCATACAGCTGACTGTATATGGGGGGAGGGGAGACAGGGGCACGAGGAAGGAAAAACTACAATTAGGAACATTAAAGAGATAACAGAAAGATGAATGGACAACCTGTTGGACTTCTGAGATGCACAAAAACAAATGCCAGAAGTATAGGCAAAAATTGAAGTATTTGGATGCAACCAAAAATATGACTTTATTGGTATCACCAAAAAAATGGTGGGTTAGATCACAGGACTGCAATATTGTTAAAGTAGATTATGGCTTGTTTAGGAAGGACAGGCAGGAGGAAAAAGTGAAAAGGTATACTGTATAGCAAAAAGATTCGTGCTTCCTCTGAAGTTCAGAGACAACAGGCAAGCTTATTGAATGTCTCAGTGAAAAGAACAGGGAAGATGTCATTTTGTAGTCTACCATACACAACTTAAATCAAAAGTAGGGAATTCATGAGACCTCTTGAACAACTCACAGAAGAATGCAAAGGACAGGACCTTCAGTCATAAAGCCTAAGGTACAAAATGACATTCAACTAACCAGGAACATAACAGAAACAAGAAAAGGTTCTATAAATATATTATAATTTGAGATGGAGACACTGGCAAGTATAGGTCCCTTATTTAAAACAGGACACAAGAGAAAGTAAGACCTAATGGAAAAAACAAAATACTAAGGCCTTTCTTTGAATGCTTTAACTCTGATATAAAATACTCAATAAAATCAATGTTAATAAAGAGGTAGGAGTTCAGGCAGAACAGGTTAAAGAATATTTACATGAGATTAATACTCCTGCTGACTAAGTATATTTAGTATTTAAGATACTACCTAAAGTTACCTCTGAACTCTTGGCAATTATATTCAAGAACTTATGAAAAACTGGGGAGGTCCTATGGGACTGGAGATGGGCAAACATTGAATCTGTTTTTAAGAGAGCAAGAAGAAAAAATTGAACCAAAGGAATTATAGACCAGTCAACCTAACTTTGATAGATGGAAAGCTCCTGGATGAAATTATGAAACAAAACAGCTTTGAAAACCCTATGGGGTAATCAGCTGACAAGGAACAACCAACAGGATCTCAAGAATAAATCTTGTCAAACCAAGCTTCTTTGGTAGGATAAGTGACCTAGTGGATGAAAGGGAAACAGCAGATGCAGTAAAACTTTTAAATAGTTTTCTATTCAAACTTGGGAAACAATCTAAATGAAATCATCATAAGATGTAGATGATTAGCTGAATGACACACTCAAAGAGAAGTCATCAATGGATCAATGTTAAAATGGAAGAGCATTTTAAATGAGAACGCCCAGTGATCAATCCTGAGTCAACTTTTAAGAAATATTTATGTTAATAACTTAGATGATAGAATAAAAATTACAAAATGTGTATGACATATGATCATTATGGAAGACAAGATCATTTTGAATTTTGATCCTTATATGGAGATATGATCTGGTACCAATTAAACGAATTCACTAAAGACAAGTATGAGATTATTCTTAGAACAGAATAATCAAATGTGCAAATTTCATATACTCTTACAGAATGAAGCAGTATAGCAGAAAAGAATCTGGGGGCCACAGACTGAATAGAAGTAAAAGGCAATTTTTGTATGATACAATAAATAAAAAAAAATAAAATGCAGGCCCCATTCTAGGACATATTAATAGGAGTAATGTATGCAAGCCTGTGGTGGCTATTACAGCATTGAGCTTTTGGCATATGTTTTCTTTGGGACAATTTGTGAAATATTCATATAATATGGGTTTATTAAACTGAAAAAAATGGATTTCCTACAAGCTGAAAGTTAAGAGAAGACATTTACATCTACTTTCTCTTACATAGATGCCATGATGAAACTTTAAAGAAAACAAAACCAATATCTGTGTCAATTTAGACAGGTACAAATTAAAAGGCTAAACTTTTAAATGGGTGCCTAAGATTTCACCACATCATGAGCAACAACATTTGAAGCACTAGGTGTAAAACAGAGTGGAAGTGAAGGTCAGTTAGTACAGCAATAAATATACACATCAGACTCTCAGTTCTAAAGTTTAAGAAACAAACAGCATAGTATAATGTTACTCATGATAAGCAAAAAGACTTGTATTTAAAGGCATATGAAGTAATAGCTGGAGTAGTGTACTGGCTTCTGGCTGCTTTACCACCCCATCCAGAAAGAGCACAGACCATCTGCATATGCTTCCTCAGCCTGATGAAGGGCGTTTGTGCCTAAAGCTTGCTAAGAAGAATTTTTCCAACTACAGTATAAGAATTGATCTAATAAAAGATATCAGTTTTACCCAAAGAACCTTGTCCACCTATGTCCTTAGACCAACACAGCTACACACCTGTGAAGTAATGGTACATTCAATTCTATATAGTGTTTTGTAGGTGAGTCTTGTATACATTTTTACTCCAGTGCATTAGGATACAATAGACTGCTACAAATGGACAGACTACTGAAACCGTTTTGATCTATCTTGAAACGATTAATTTAGGAAGAAACTGTTCTGATTAAGAGAACTACTCTGTGGTGTTTCTGAGAAATCTTTCCTTCAGGCAAAACACCTGGATAAAGGAATCAGAGGCATATGAATAACATCTTGGAATGGTTAAAAATTGATGTGAACAGGAGGAATTCTAGTTTTCATGAACATGAAAGACAGAATATACAGTACCTGTGAGGAGGATACTGAGCAAAAGCAAATAAAATGTCAGGGCTGGAAGAACAGAAAGCAGCAAGAATGACTGAGGTAGATGCACCTTTCAGGTTTGGAGAACTGTAAGCTTTCTTGCTCTATTCGGATGCCTTGAATGTCTCAAAGATGGAGAAATTTTATAGTTGAAAGTTCTGGGGGTTCAAGTTTTTTCCTTCATTGTAATTCAGACTAAAAGCAAATTCTTATAAACCTAAACTCTTGATCCATGTAGCTTTTCCATCACACAGCACAAAAGTATCGGGACACTACATTCATAAATAGATTTATCCTAAAAGAAGCTCCATAATTGCAAAGTAGCATTAGCTCCACTTTGCTAAAGTTAATTGCCAATGGTAGGTAACACAAAAGCCTCTGGCACAGCAGGAACTGAATCCAGATCTCCTAGGTTCCCTTCTCAAAGTCTTAATCAGGACCATTTGATCTACAGGAATGACCCAAAACAGACTCTTAAGGAGGAAGAGGCAACTAACATAAGATTCTTGAAGACGTAAGACAGAATAATTCTTTCTTAATTATAGAAAAAAAAGACATGAACTGCATCTACATTTAAGATCTTGGGAATTAAGGAGGTACCACAGGGAAATTTGCTATGATTTTTATATTCACATATGTGAAAATCTCAGTGAGAAAAAGGAATACCTACATTCAGAGGTGTTTGGCATTATATACTTAAAAAGAATAAGATGGGGTAAAAGGAAAGACAGGTACTAATACGCCTGTATAATCAGGCAGTTACATAAATGGGCTCCCCAGTCTCTTTTTCATTCTAAAATTTCTCACTTTAAACATTTAATTAAATACTTATTTTCCAAAATGCAAGGCTAATTTAAGAACTAAATTTTAGTGCTTTCCCCATTCCATATGTAACTGGTTACAATTCATTTTAATTAGCACAAAGCTTGTTTTGTTTTGTTCGGTATTTTAACATATGTAAGAGATGAAACAAAACTTACCAATAAATCTTAATTTGGCATCATTAGACCACCATAAAAGAATTTCAAAACTTCCTCTGATATTTCCCATTTTTGTATTTTGCATTTTTACAGGGCCATCATTCTTATAAACAACAACTCTATTTATGTGGCTCATAAGGGGAAAGGTAGTTATGATCATAAAATAAAAAGTAGGTAAATTCCAAAACAATGTCTTTTATGTTTTTAGTTTAAACAAAATAAAACAGTGTATGGGACTTTAGTTTACTTCAGATTTTAAACTCTTACAGATAAAAGCAGGATGAATCCAATCTAAGCTTCTAGCAATGTTGCAACATGTCCCTCTATATTTTTTTTCTGGCTTCAGGTCATGATATACCTCAAATATTATAGTCAAAAGACTAATTGCTATGTCTGTTGCACATTTTACAAACCCAAGTGTTGTTCAGATACTGAACTGAAATATAGCTGTTGGCAAAACAAGAACATTTAACCAAGGCAAAACAAAAATCTATTTCCCTGGTTATCATTAATAAGTCACCAGATTGGAATTCTTAATGATCACCAGGAAAGCAGACTTGGATAAAGTTTGGGAATTCTCCGTATCTGCATTTTCCATGCTTCCATTCCTTCATTAATAAAAATGGACAGTTAACTCACCTCTCTTTTCTCTGTGAACTTCTTCTAGGAGTACTTCCTGCTTTTCTATTTGTTGAAAGAGAGACTGGCACTCAGCTTCCTTGCTCAGTGTTAAGTGCTTAACCTGCTCACGACTCTGCAGTAGGTGGCGTCGCAACTTCCTCTCCTTGCTTTCTCTTTCTTTTACCTCTTCGCATAGCCACTGAAGTTTTGTCTACACAAAACAAAATTTTGACATTAAAAAGAGAAGAACTCCAACACCATCAGGACTTAACTCTTTTACCAAGCAGAGATAACATCTTCAGAGCCAACTTACTGAGTAGCTATTCACACATAAATCACTTTTTATAAAAAGGCATACTACAACATATTAAAAGACCAAACGTTGGCTCCATGTGCAAATACATTGAAAATATACATATTTTGGCTGGAAGAAACTACTTGTGCAGTCTTGCAACATAAACTATCTTTGTTAGGAACAAAGACTTCCAGGATGCGTATTTATTGGGCAATGTTGATCTACAGACAGATCTAGATATAGATATACATGACATCTACCCACTGAATGATTTTCCATGATTCCTGAAACACACAGTCCACAGAAAAACAGAGCTACTGGCTCAGACTCAATATCCATTTAGCTGTTCTCTCTCATATAATTTCTCAGGCAAAGAATTAAAATCTTTTCAATATAAAAGGTATTTTCCCAGTCCTTGATCATTCTTACTGCTTCTATCTGAAACCATCCTTGTTTTGCAATATATTTTAAGATATGATAACCAATAGTAGGCTACAAGGTAGCAGTGCAATTAAGGTATTTTGCTATGGCTCCAAAGACACTAGTCCAAGCCCAACCCTGGACCAGTACCAAAGTCCCCCACACAAAGGTTAGCCAAGCTTCAAATTCTGCAACAACTTGGTAATTCTGTTGGGGAAATCAAAGGTGGTCAGACAAAATGCTAGTCACATCACTCCTGTACATTAAGCCAGTTGCAGAAACCAGTTTACCTTAAACATGGAAGCCCAATAAGCCACTGATTTCAGGTTAAAAATGAAACTCCATCATCAAATCCAGGAAAGCCTAAGATCAAACAAAGGTACAGGCTGTGGAAGAAGCAGTAGCTACCAAGGAGGAGTATACTTCCTTCACTTGCTCTTGCAGGGAATCAGTTAGGAAAGCCAAAGCAACATTAGAACTCAGGCTGGCGACAAAAATTAAGGACAACAAAAAGTCCTTCTTCAGGTATACAGGGAGCAAAAGGAAGAGTAGGGCAGCATAGGACCCCTAACAGGACAGACAAGGGCAGTTGATGACAGATGGGAGGGACAAAGCAGAGCTCTTCAATGAGTTGTTTGCCTCTGTATTCTTGAACTTGGATCTAGACATATCTCCCAAATGCATTACTGACAGAAGCAGGAGAAACACCAGCCCATCAACTGTCAGCACCGACCTAGTAAAGAGACACTTGGAGGAGCTGGATGTGTTTAAATCAGCAGGACCAGATGAGCTGCATTCAAGGGTGCTGAAAGAATTAGCCAGTGTCATAGCAGAGCCACTGGCACAGCTGTTTGAGCACTTGTGGTGCCCAGGTGAGGTCCCAGAGGACTGGAAAAGGGCCAGTGTGGTCCCTATTTTCAAGAAGGAGAGGAAGGAGGATCCAGGTAACTATAGACCGGTTAGTCTCACGTCTATACTTTAGAAAACCCTTGAAAAAATTATCAAGGATCACATTTATAGGAGTCCAGCAGGTAATATAATGCTAAAGGGCAACCTGCATGGGTTCATAGCAGGTCGATCCTGCCTGACTAACCTTGTTTCCTTCTACGAGCAGGTCACTAAAAGCTTAAATGCAGGAGTCAACGATGTTATGTACTTGGACTTTAAGAAGGCCTTAGACGCGGTATCCCATCCTATTCTTAATAAACAAATTGAACGGCTGTGCCATAGACGATCACACAGTCATGTACGTGGCAAATTGGTTTAACGGTCTTACCCAGAGAGTGGTGGTGGACAGGTCAGTATCGACCTCGAAAGATGTGGGCAGTGGGATCCCCCAAGGCTCAGTCTTTGGGCCAGTGCTATTCAATATCTTTATCAACGACCTGAATGAGGGCATGGAAAGCACTCTATCCAAATTCACAGATGATACTATATCCAAATTCACAGATGGGGCGAAGCAAACACACCGATGGGAAGAAACCGAATCCAGGCGGACCTGGACAGGTTAGAGAAGTGGGCAGAGAACAATAGGATGCAGTTCAACAAGGACAAATACAAGGTGCTGCACCTAGGAAGAGGGAATCACCAGCACACCTATAGGCTGGGGGATGATCCACTCTGTAGCACAGCAGCAGAAAGAGATCTCGGAGTCATTATCGACTCCAAGATGAACACGAGTTGTCAATGCGATGAAGTAATTAGCAGAGCTAACTGCACTTTATCATGCATTAGTAGGTGCATCACAAACAGGTCCAGGGAGGTGATGCTCCCCCTCTATGCAACACTGGTCAGGCTGCAGCTAGAGTACTGCATCTAATTCTAGGCGCCGCAATTCAGGAAGGATGTGGACAACCTTTAGATGGCCCAGAGGAGGGCCACTCGTATGGTTAGAGGCCTGCAGGGAAGGCCTTATGAGGAAAGGCTGAGGGACCTGGACATTTTCAGCCTTCGCAAGAGAAGGCTGAGCGCAGATACTTTGATATGGTGCCTAAACAGAGGGCCCTGAGGAAGCCTGGTTTTAACTTGAAACTAGAACTCTAAGACCTCTGGCACACATTCATGTAAAGACATGCGAAACATCCCCATGGAGATAAAGACACCATGTGGGATCCCCATCCCAACAGTTGCACTTCCTTGCCATTCCATATTTATGCTATGATTAGTAGTGGCATAAGTGCAATGCATAAAGGGGCCTAAGTAAATATGAGAGACAAAATGACCAGTGTGACCTCCAGCACTTGTTAAATTGAAAACAAAAGTATAACTGCACACATATTATATACAGTTGTGGCAACAATATACAGTCAACTAGATAAGATGACAGATGGAACAAAGATATGCAGTAGGAGATCAGTTCTTTAATCAGAAACAAAAGGTGGGTGAGTTCAGGTAACATCAAATAATTCACGTTCACTTGCATGAAAAGCACATAAATTATCATCTCACAAGTTTTGAGTCAAAATCTTCTATATTCTCTCACAGATAAAATAAAACAAAGTAATAAAAGGCAGCCCTTGTTCCAGGCAGTAACTATAGTTTCCAAGAAGTCTTCTTCTCTCCTGCAATCTTCTGCTCAACTCAAGATGGAATACTGTGCACTAGGATTGATTATCTTCTTTAGCTACACTGGTGGGAGCCAACCTTTTTGGCAGGCACGCCACAAATTTGCCCCACATCCTCCTCAAGTATGTCCCCCTTCCCTTGCCCAATCTGCTGCTCTACTTTTGTTTCCTTCCCAATTTGCTCTTTTGGTCTCTGCTTCCTGCCCTATCTGCCACTGTACTGTCTGCCCCTTCCCAATCTGCCAAGCACAGATGCACATGCTACTTGTGGTGCCCACACCACAGGTTGGCCACCCCTGAGCTATACCATTTCTTTCAAGCTAAGGCCAACTGCAACCTGCAATATCCGACAGGTCTGTATGAGCCCCACGAAGCTGTATATGAAAAGTTAGTCTTGAACTTGTTTTTTTCCCTGCTCTTCAACAATTGAACAGACAGATTTATAAAAATTCTCAAAATGATAAATTTTATGAATGGATATTTGCTTGCTTACTACAGATCTGCTTATTATCTATCACTATGAGGCATGTACAGTAGTACATGAGAGTTTGATAGTAATATTTCCTGCTTCTGTTAACAGGAAATCAGTTTTTTTTAATGTTATTGCAAGGGCAAAAAAATAAATAAATAAAATCAGCTACAACACTTACACCTCCATATCATACCAACGTGAATAAAGGAGGGGGAGGAGAGACTAAAGTTAGTATACTAACTAAGGATACGAATCTCTCTTCTTTTACCAAAAAGGAAAAGAAATCTATTTCTGCTATGCAACCAAATTTTTATACGGGCGTCTGTGGTCTAGTAGTTATGGAAGAAGTTTGGAAATTAGAAGCTAGGAGGAGGCTTGGAATAGGTGCACAGTGTTCAAACTGCAATTCTACCACCCACTTAATTTGAGGTCAGACAAGACATTTGGCCTTCATGTGTCTGTGTTAGCTTTGCTTGAAAGCTGCATTTCACTTAACTATATAATGCATGACTAAGAAAAAAAACAACTTACTCTCACCTGCCTCCCATAACGGGTCAATTAAAGTAAATGGCTAAACTACAGTAGCTAAAGTTGAAAAAAGAGACTTTCCTTATACATTTCTACTGCTATTACAGCAAAAGCTTTGTTATCTGGCACCCATGGGGAATGGGGGTGCTGGATAACCAAATATGCTGGTTACCTGAGATGCCAGTCGCCCCTCCCACCGCGTCAGTGTGCCAGGGGACAGAGAGGGGGGCCCCAGGCACACTGGGGAAAGGCTGCTATGCCCCAGGCCGTGGGGGCTCGGCAACACAGGCTACTTTGCCCTGGGCCGTGAGGGCTCGGCGAACTGGAAGTGTGGGCACTTCCAGTTTCACTTTTGCCACGTCAACTGGCATGCCGGTTAGTAGAGCATGCCGGTTTGTAAGGTGCCGGATAACACAGCTTTTACTGTAAAAGTTTTGTTTCTAAAACTAAAACCTAAGTACAAGCCTCTTCTACAAACACAGATTCCCAGAACTAGAGAAGAGGGATAAAGCAAACAGAGAAAAATAGTAAGGAAGAATGAGCCAATTCCGTACTGGGCGATTGATATTAAATATCTCAATAAGAAGCTGAAAATATTATTTTTTAAGTGAAGGTACTAAACAAAGACCAAACTGATTCTACATTCAATCTATTCCAGGTTCCGGTACTGTGTTGTGGATTGAAAGTAGTCTATCCCAAATTTGTAATCCAACCCCTAGACCACAATTAAATATGGGATTTGATCCTCTCCACAAAATGTGCTGAACTCTCTGACTTCAAGCACAGTCTATACACAGGTGACAGGATTATGGCAACACAGTAAATCCAAAATTGAAGACCTAAAATCTAAACTAATTTCTATTAATATCAGTCACACAAATCATAAAATCATTTAACGCTTACTCCTCTAATGCCCTTTCTAAGGCCCCTGACACATGCTCATTTAAAAGGCACCATGGGATCTGATCCCCAATACTAACAACTGTGCTTATTCCATGCCACACATCAGGGATCAGATCCCAATAGCACCCTTTCTACTTGCCAGTGCAGGGGGAGCCCAGGATCATGATCCTAGGCTCCCCCTGTGCCAGAAACTTAAAAACTAGATGCCCACAGGTTTGGGGACAAGGCCAACAGTCAGCTGACAATCAGGGGCTCAGAGTTCCAGGCCAGCTCAAGAGCTTAGTGAGAACCTTGGCCAGAGCTGATAATCAGCTCATTGTCAGCCCTGGCTACAAGTCTGCCACATGTTCAATTTAAAGATGCTATATAAACCAGCCATAAAAATGTAGGACATTTGCAGCACCCTTGCCATTTATGCCACAATTAACACATTAATTGCACACAACTATAATGTGTAGAGGAAGCCTAAAGCAGCATGAGCCCATACTAAGAACCAAGGACCATTAATACCTGTTTTATAGCACGTTATACTTTGCCCAATTCCTGAATTCTTTTCACACAGGTAAAATTGATTAGATTGACCCTCCTCTTTTTTGAAAGGCCTTTTATCTCCTAGTAATCAGCTTCTTTTCTTTTGTTAATTTTGTGTTGGCTACCCCTGAATTTCTCTCACCCCCTCCCCTCTGCTATTTTTCACTATGGTGTACCTATCTCCCTGTGATCAGTGACTTGAGGAAGAATGTCTTGCATCCCAACGACATAGCTGGTCTAATAAAAGATATCACCCTAAGAAATATTTGTCTCTGATCTGATATATTTTAACTTGTTTATCAAATTTTACCCCCTGTCAGAGAAGAAAGCTCAGCCAGTTAGCAAACAGGGTAAATAATCTGTGTGTAGAGGTGCACTGCTATATCAGTTGCATACTGGATGGGAACCAATAACAGGTAAATTAACATTATCAGCTATCAGCTTTTTTGACTGATAATATCACCAATAAATGCTACATGCATGTGTGCAGCCACAGCATGCATGCAGCCAGGAATGCAGCCTAGTAGCTTGAAGAGCAGCAACGTGCCAGTAAGTCTGTGGAGGGAAGAGGCTTGGAGGTGGCATATTAAGTCCCCCACAGTGAGAGAAGCAGCAGCAGCAGGCACTGTTCAGTCAGGGCACGGTCTGGGACAAAGCGGAGATGTGTGGGGGATGGCTCCCAGCCATTGCGCAGCCCTCTAGGGTAGGCATGTGCCCCCCAGATTTGTGCACGAGGTGAGGGCAGGCTGCCCATTGCTGACTCAGGGCAAGGGGCTGTGCCAGCCTTTTCCCAGCGGGGGGGGGCTGGGCCATCACTGTACTCAGGGTGGGTGGGGGTGGGATGGGCTCCACTGCATGGGGAAGGCAGTGGTAGCAACACTGGGAGGGGTGGCTATGGGGAATTTTGGGGTGGCTATAGCCCCCCAAACCAGCCCCTAGTGCCATCCCTGCTCGGGTCAACGCGCTCTGCCGCAACTGAGCTTGCCTCGTCCCACCTACCCCGATCACAGCCCTGGTCCATCCCCCACAACCCCTCACCAGGAAGAGATTGGCTTAGCCCGAGGCCCCAAGCCCACAGTGGGCAGCCTGCCCTTGCCCTGTACACAAATTCAGGAGGCTACATGCTCCCCATGACTCCCCCGGGGGTGCACGTAGCAGCAGACAGCCATTCCCCACCACATCCCCTGGATAAGCTGCCCATAGTTCTGTCCTGTGCCCCACTATGGGGTTGCATTTACCACCCCAGCTGCCTGTCCCTGCCCCTGCCCCATTCCCTCCCTCACTGTGGGGGCCTTGATCTGTCCTCCCACACCCCTTCCGCTCCTCCCCCCCAAACACCAAGACCTACCAGCAGGACACTGCTCTCCATGTTGCCTGGCTGCGTTCCTGTAAATCAGCTATCAGATCGGTATCAGCCAATATGGCTGGTTAATAATCAGCCATCAGTATTGTCTAGGAAAATCTTTATTAGTGCACCCCTATCTATGTTTAAATTTTATTAAAAAATCTATGTTTAAAAAGTTATCAGTATATCTGTGTGAAGGAAGGTTGTATTTTAGAAAGACTATGGTTATCAAACTAAAGAAACTTAAGAAATATGACAAACAGGATCAACTTTCAAAAAGGGAGCATTTTAACTGCTTCCCCTGCAAAAGTTAATAAAGTAGTTAATGCATAAAACATTCAACCATCCTATTTAGAAAAAACAAAACAATTTGCGTCAATTTTGAAGACTAAATTCAACTATATAAGTGTAATGCGTAAGGATTTTTTAGCCCTCCTACAAGAATAAATCTTAATGTAACCTTGATTATCTTTAGCTATTGGCCTGTATACACAATGTGGGGGTGGGGAGGGGCTTACTTCTCATTCCCTTTAGTTATTATCTACAAAACCAAGGAAAACACCATTTAGATTTCAGAAATTTTGGAAACCCAAGTCCTTTGCTTCTTTCTATTATTCATTAGCCCATGCAGTGTACTAGAACTAAAAATGCAGTTACCTCAGATTTTCAAAGGTTCACTCTGGAATCATAATCCTTAGATATTTCTTTTATTCCATTTTTAGGGCTGCTCTTTCTTCTGAATTAATCAAGGTGCTAATGAAAGGACAGCATTTCTACATTCTATTTAAAAATCTCAGAGCTCTTCTACCCACTACTCTAGAAACTTGTTTGGGAGATTTGTGCAAATGATTATTAAACACCCCAAACAGATTTTTTTTAATACTGCTTGGGATGTTAGCATTGCCTGTCTGAATACTGAGATGGTTCCTATATAGTTCTGCCAATTCACAACTTTGTCTCTGCTATTTATAGCAATACTAACTCTTGGTCTATGTACATTAAATACCAACCCATCAGTAAGCTTAAGCCATCTTGCTAGCAAACAGTTTCTCCCCAGTCAATTGGTCAACATTTCTTCCACTCTTGTGACCTTTTCACTGCAGAGAGAAAGCCTCGTCTCGTGTGACATAAAAACTGTTTTCATCGTGACAAGCTTAATTCTATTAAAAGATACTGGATAAGACTACTTACAGGACTTGCAAAGTAAAAAAGCTAAGGTTAGAAGTTACCAGTGATCTCTTTGAACAATTAAGCTAAGGCACAGTAATAAAAGCTTACAGTAGCTGGCATGCCAGGCTTATAAGAGGTTTCCATCATGTACATACTCACATTATAGGGCTCATGGGATTAAGCAGGGGAAAATAGGGAACAGCACATTCTTCAAGAATCTGTTCTAATAGATTTAGATTTAAAATAAAACCGACTTAAATCAAGAATATCTTGCCTCTTTGTAACACTATAGAAGAAAGCCCATCTGTTGATTATAATTTTATTTTATTTAATCTCAAAAGAATAAATAAAAAAGAGAAAAGGACACCCAGTCTCAAAAAGGCCATCAGTTTTCATTCATAGATGCATTTGTTTTGCCATGCATTCAAAATTTGGATATGCTGGAATAATCATGTCAAATTAAAGGAGAAAAATATAAATTTTACTATACAGAGAGTGATTTCTTGCTGACAATGAGTCATGTAACCACCAAAAAAGGATTATAAGGCAGCTAAAATGTGAAGTCTTTCAGACATATGGATGTATTTCATAAGAGAAGTGGAATCAAACATGCCTTCAAACTGGAGGCAACAGACTGCTACTTATCAAGAGACTGCAAAATACTTTGTTAATTGAAAAAATAGCTACAGTCCTTCAGCTTAACAGACAAGTCACCAAATTGGAAATAGCAATATACCTACCAAAGGAGTGTTACAAATTTTATATTGTATCCCCCTGCCCCAAGCATAATTTAAAATACAATTTTAATATGCAAATATAATTGGTACATATATATTTATTCAGTACATCCAGTAAGATCCAGTTACCTTTGTTTCTGCTAACCACCGATGAGGGTCATTCTGCAACCCAGGTGCAAGTGATATTGCCTTAAAAAATAAAAAATAAAAAAAAAGGTTAGACCCACAATAGAATTTTTCTGGTTTACTGAAAAAACAACCAACCAATAGTTTAAAAACTCATTACTAAAGACTGATGTTGAAAGGCTTATTCATAAATGGTTTAAAAGACTGTAACTTTACATCGGTCACATTTAAATGGTTCATTATGTAATATCATTTAAATCTTGTTTAAAATGCAAAGCAGGTCAGTAGCTCCTTGGTAGAATGTAACTCTGCTTCTGTCCAAGTTTCAGTATAAAATCACTACAATAATTAGAACACCCCCAAAATACTTGAATATTGTGTTATATTTCTATAAAATCAACAATGCATCAAGATGTGCATTTTTAGTGGGAAGTTTTGGCTGCTCCTTGCTGAAAATTAGGTTTAATTTACAGGAATATGAATCACTATCATTTATTTTTATTTTTAAGGATGAGTTTGGAAAGCATCCAAACCCATTTCCCTCTATTTTTTAAGGGCAACAGACTGAAAAGCTACTGGAACTGGTAGTACATTCCGGAGTGCACAATGGGACTTTATTTTGGAATGGGATCCACATCTCTGACAAGCTGCAATATCACAGAATAAAAGAAATGTACAGGAAGTACCACTCAAAATTTGTTATTCCATTGCAATGACGGTGCTGTAATGCCTTCATGTAGGTAGAACACAAAATATTATACTTAGTTCAGATATCCTAGATGGAGTATCATATTCTTATGATTATCTGTATAATAATTCCAGTCACTTTGTGTTATTATGGAACACACATGATGTGTCTCTATTAGGCATTTCATCAACCTGTAATAGTGCAAATAGTCCTGCATACCTTTCTTCACTGCTGTCTCCCAAACTATATTATGTAAAGATAAAATATTTCATCAAGTTAATGTTAGTTTCATGTTCTATGTTATTTATTTAACAGTAATTTTCTTTTAAGTAGATTCATTTTTCATTATTTTTTAAAATGTGCAGAAGGAAAAAACTCAATGTATAGATTTGTACTTTTAAGGAAAGTCTACTTAAGTTTAAGTTCATCGTCAGTTTAACAGAGCAAATATCATTTTAGGTGCATGATGGAAAAGACCATGATGCAGGTTGACATATTAAAGCTCTATGATGTTGTTATTTCTTTTAAAAAATTAAAACAGTTGCCTGGCATTAATGTAAAAGCATTTTACCGTATACCTCTCTTTGGTGCATACCAAATGAATGCTTGTAATAAGTTTATTCCTTTAACAGGGCTTCATTAGGTTCTAATATCTATGCAGAAATTTAAGGAACAGTAACACTGTTCTTAGTACTGTACAGTTGTTTATATTAGAAAATATTACTGAATTTTGATCTAAGCATGAAGCATCTATGTAGCTAACATGTTATACACATTGCTGCATGAGAGATGTAGACTCTTCAAAGTGAAACCAGCTTATCAAAGTGTCCATGACCTACGTTTAACCAATTTACTTACTGGAGTGAAAATATTAGTGTTTTGAGGATAGGTTTTCACATGACAACACATGACTGGTTGAAAGAATAAAACCGCAAAACACACATCTGTATTTTTTTTTTTTTTTTACATTAAAACTCCAGTAGATGACAGCTACTAAAACTGATCAGGTTTTTGCTTCTGGAAGGGCTGGAAGGATACTGAAGTTTCAATATTTACCCTTTCAGACCCCTCACAGGGATACTTCTAACTAGAAATAAAAAGTTTTAACTAGCCCCCTTCCAAAGCCCTTAAGAATACCTTTTCTCAGGGCTGACTGCAGTGTTGCATAACATCCTGATGACTGCCAAGATGGGGTGATGATTTGGGCAAGGGGAAGGAGAGAGAGAAAGAGATATCAAGAAGCTCACATTTGCTTTAAGTTTTTCCGTAGCAAGTAATTAAAGTTGCCTGCTAACACTAAACAAGTTAGAAGCTGAAGGCTTTCAAAAGAGAAAAACCAGATCTCCATATTTTGGAATTACTTTTAAATTACACCTACAATTTCCAGGAAGGGTGTGAATTAAAATATTAATTCTATCTATACTGCCTAATGTAGCCTTTACTGATCAGAAATGGGGGGTGTATGAAAGGAGGAAGGTTAAGCATTCTGCATTTTATTATGCAGTGAAACATTTAAAATATGACGTCTGCATGCCCAGACTGTCATATTCAGCTCCAACATAGAAATGCTTTTAAAATGTTTAGAGAAATTTCCCCAGTGAAAAGTCTTTTAGCTTAAAAAGAACACATACACACACACACCAGAGCAACAATATGTACTTATTTTTTTAAATGCATTATATGAGCTAAAAATGCATGTAAAAGCAGTCACCTATAGTTTCCAGTTTATAATTTAGAAAATGCATTATAGTCCTTGCAAATATAACCCATTGGGTTACTTAAGTAAAACTCAAGAATTTGAATTAGAAAATGTATCTGGTGTACCTATCAACTAGCTAGATATAAGCAACAAAAATTAATCATTTGAATCTTTGAATTTTTGAATCTTTGAGTCATTTTGAACTTAAGAAAAACTTCACATGAACAGGATCTCTGATATTTTGAAGGTACTTTGAAATTTCCAGTATTTGAGAAACTACTGGAAATTTGGCAAACATTGTGATTAACCAAACAGCTAAAGCATAGTGCAGAGTTATGTTAAAACCCAGGGGCTTGAGAAGAATGGAAACATACTTTCTTTGTTAACCATTCTAAATGAGGGAGACATATCACATAATATGAAACTGTAACTGATATATAAGTAAGATATGACATTTGAGATATTAATATTACTTCTGAGCAAGACAACAAAGAAGTTAATGTAGAATGACAAACTTATTTTCATCTATGAACAAACACAATGAGGTTAGTAACAAAGCAGGTGATTTACAAAAGCAGCTAGCATTAACTGGACACAGTTATTTACAAAGAAAAACAATGGCAAGGAGAAAGTAGTTTCTGATGATGCACATAAGAGTGTTCTCACTGCTTTTTGAAAAGGTACATGACATGACATATCAGTCCACCCACAATATGCTAAATACCATATTTTAAAACTATGACATTTCTTTCACTGGTAATTTTGCACTCCACAAACTATTCACATGTGACTACCAAGTATCCATACATACAATTCTATTATAAGTGTCTATCAGAGAGCTAACTAAAAAACTCTATGGTAGACTGAGAATTCATATTTACTCTAAACTTCTCCACAGAGTCCCTGAAGAAGATTTCACAAGCAGCATCTATTTCACTTCCTATCATATTGAGAATGGATTCCTGTTCCATCTCCAGGCGATGCAGTTGATCCTTAAGCTGCAATCTGGCCTCCTCCATTCTCTGCATGTGATCTTCTTCATTGCTCATCTGTTTATCCTGGACCAAAAAAAAAAAAGATATATATATATATATAATATTTACTACTTGAATGAAGAGGAGGCATCCCTAGATATCCTATAGCTTTATACAATATAGGGAGACAATACTGTCTATTTACTATTAAAGTAAGCAGGAATAATTCAGAAATAGGACGTTTTGCAACTAATGATCCACTACACTGGCAAATTAATCACTTTCAGATGGAAGATTTTGACTCATTTACCCAAATCAAAAAGAAAAAGCAAAAGAAAAATCATTTGTCATGTCAAACCATATTTCCACCAACGGGCCATTTTAAAACTAATGTTACTCATCTTTCTTGGAAATAAACACTGAAAATTCATATTCATAGCACCAGCTAGTGCATCATAGATGGCACAACACCGTCTCACAGGAAAGGATTTCCTTGGGTCACTGAGCCTAGTCCCCACTGTTGTAAGTAGCCGCATCATGGGAAGTAAGGTAGAACCATCAGCAATGGTGAATATCATGCATAGTTTGTACTATACAAACACAAACAGCAATGGACTCAATGACTTGCGAAATAGACAGTACAATCATGGAGTCTGATACAATAGCCAAATCCAGAGCTTTCATCAGTTGTCTTCTTCCTCAAGCCAGAAATACCCAGTGCCAATACTTGTCTTTCTATCTTGTATTCAGATCTATCATAGGTATCTAAGCTCAGCAACTTCACAGCCAGAGATCCTTGAAGCAAAACAGCTTTTGTTTTTCTGGTACTCTTTACATGCCCTTAGGTTAAGCTTGTGTTGAGAGAACATCTCTTAACGCAGAGGCTCTAGCTGAGGATATTCACACATCTTAGATGTTCATCCAATGCCAAGAGACTAAATATAATAGATACCTTTTAAAATGTGATCGTTATCTTTGGATTGGCCATGAAGTATTTAGGCAGAACTCAGTCTTACAACTACCGCACTTACTCAAATATAAGATGACCCTGAATATAAGACAGCCACCAATAATTAGACTCTATTTATGGAAAAAATATAAATTTCTTATAGTTCTCCAGGTGAAGAATCTAATTATTGGAGGTTAGCCTTAAATTTGTCCATTTCCTACTGCTACAGCAGAGAAAATAAATCTAGACGATCAGGTAGAACCCTGGCTCCCTTCCCATCCTCCCAGCTTCTTCTTCCCACAGCACCTCTCCCATACTCCTTACTGTCTGACCCTGCTCTCCCTGAGCACATGGAAGTCAGGAGCAAATTTGAAAACACCAATTTCAAAATAAACAGACCTGTAGTAATTTGCATATAGCACCCATAAATTTTATTTATGCAGAAATGATACATCGTACCTTTTTTGGAAACTACTGCAAGGTTTAGCACATGTACTCCATAAACACACTTTTAAGCAGCACTTTTGTACTTACTTACATAGTACAAACTATGCATGATATTAGCCCACAGCCAAAAAGCTCATGATTTACCATATAGTTCATTGGGCTGGGCCCCAGCAGAGTCAACAGTGTTTCAAGCCACGGTGACCCCTAAACACTGCTCGGTATGTGTATGTACTTCAGATACCCTACACAAAGTATCCATGAGTTAATTAGTCCCCAACTCATGACTGGAATGCAATGTTCTTGTTTCAAGTTCTGGGATCCTTCAAAAACGTATATGTATATGAGGCACAGGGCAACCTTGTCTGACTCCACCTCCTGGAGGACAGGGCCACATTAATCATAGGCACCAGGCTAAGAGAGGGGGTGACAGAGGGAATCTGGGTGAATTGTTTGGGACCCTGTTTGGTGATCTTTGCCAAACATTTAAGGCTAGTGAAGAAACAGAAATCCTTGGAAATGGGAAAGAAAGGCACAGCTCAGCTATGAGTGTGAAGAACAAGTTGAAATATATGCAACCTAGTGGCTCACCATGATTTAAAAGAAGTCAGCACCAAGGGAGACTGTACTTAATGGGCAATGCCATATATCTTATTCAGGTGGTAACTCTCCTTACTCAAGACATTGAAGAGAGCTTCGAGGCTGGGGGAAGGTCACTTCTGTCCCAGTGGACTTCACTGCTGCATACGACACAGTCTGGCTCTATGGCCTCTATTACAAGCTCCTCTGAATGATACATGCCAAAATGATCATTAGGTTTATTATGCTCATGCTTCAAAACGGCAGTTTCACTCTCAAGACCATTGATGGACTTGAGAACCACCTTAGAAGCCTCAAGAATGGCATCCCACAAGGCTCAGTACTTTCTCTGTTGCTTCAACATGTACATTGTCAACCTGCCTGACACACCCAGTCCAAGAAGTATGGCTGTGTGAATGACCTGGCTCTCACCAAATCAAGCAAGCAATAGGAAGCCATTGAATCCACTTTGACATCAGACATAAACACCCTCGCTGACTACTTTCATAAATGGCATCTCCAGCTCAGCCTCACTAAAATAGTTGCAACAGCCTTCTACCTAAATAACAACAAAGTGAAAAAAGAAATAAAAGTCAAGATTGGTGTCTGGATACTTGAACTTTGTCACACTGTCACTTATCTAGGAGTCAAGCTGGACTGGACCTATCTGGAAGGAGTCCAGGGTAAGGTTAAATCGCAGAGGAGTTCTTATCCATCACCTCACTGGCACTACCTGGGGTATAAGTTTCCAAACACTCTGCACCCCTGCTTTGGCACTTACATATGCTCCTGCTGAGTACTGTGAACCAGTATGGGGCCAGAGCACATTCACTAAGATAGTGCATTCCAGACTTAATAGCATAATATGGTTTCAACCACGTCATCTACGAATGCCCTTAGGGCCCTCCTTCAGGCATCCAAGGTCTTATTGACATGGACCATTCTACATGTTGCTGGCTTTCTGGCCCTCATGCTTCCAATGTATGTGTGTGGAAAAACTCACCTCATCATCATCACCATCATCAGGTGGGCTGCAAAAATCTGTCCTTGGGGTAGGTTCCTATTAGCTTGTTTGTCCAATATGGGCCATGTATTATATTGTCATGCTCAGTGTTGGCTGCATTTAATTTCATAGTTAGTGTCCAATACTAAGCATAATACTATGCTGCTTGTGGCAGCAGTTTAATGACAGACAGTGTATTTAGTGAGGTTTCAATGTATGTGAATGTAAGAGAGGTGTTTTCCCCACATGCTGCTAGGTGGGGGAGGGGAGAACCTCATCTTGTAGTCAAGAAAATTTAATATTTCATAATGCAAGCAATAAAAACCTCCAAAATAAGGCGCCAGAATTACCTGGAGAGAAGATTTGTTCACATTCCTTAGCTCTCTGGTGGGAAGGAATGGACACAAGAGTGTGTGCTACACTTATCTTTGACAGATTCAAAATATTTAGGAGCGCTGAAGAACACATCAGTAGGCTATCAGAAGGTTCCAATAGTTAAGCTACAGTGACTGATTCCCAGGTGTATGACTACACAGGACATGCAATTCAAAGAAGAATCTGCCTTTTATCATACACCTGTGCACAGACAGCTTACTAAATCTGAGTCAGGGGACTGTAACATATATAATCAAAAAGATGACATTTGCTTACACCAGAAATATACCACCTGCTGTTAATTTTATTTCCTGTAACTTCAAGAGGAAGAAAGCAAGCTTTTAAAATAATTTTAGTAAGGATTTTTGAGTCCTAAGCACAAAAATGATAGAGATTTTTTTCTGAGGCTGGGATTAGAAATATTTAAACAACACCAGGGCATACAGAGAAAGGGGAGCTCCCCAAAAATCTATTACTACTAGAGACGACGTTAAACAGAAAACTGAGTACGCACACAAACTTGTATGGTCTTTGCAATGAACACATATACATATGCGTATCATCTTCCCTGAATATGTATATTACATATTTTGTATTAATATGCCATATTTTAAAAGAATATTTTCAAGAAGTAGTGATAAGCAGGGATCTTGGTTTTCCCTGATAAAAAAACTGTAAATTCTTTGATTAAAAAAAAAAAAAAAAAATCACATCTCTGATTAAAAACCAAAAACCCATGATTAATGTTTTATTGATATATTTACAGTTTTAAAGCAATTTGGAAGCGTACCACTGCCTCAGTCACTCTAATAAAATAAATTCTAAGTACCTATACATTTTGGTATTTGATTTTGGGTTTTTTATTATGGAAAAAAAAAAAAAAAAAACAGCTCCCCCTGCCCCCTAGGTCACAGAACACAGCTCCAGGCCTTTCACTCTCAAGAGACAGCCCCCCAGTCCTGCCAATGCCCCTCTTTTTCCCCCCTCCCCAAGCCTTCTGCCCTGCCAGTACCCCTCACTCCCCGCCCACAGCCCTGCTAGAGGGGGCCCCCAGCTGCCAGAGTTACAGGGCCAGGGGCCCAGGTCTGCAGCCCCATCCCCCACAGCAGTGCCCAAACCCCGGTTGCTGCCCACAAGAGGCGGTGGCTGCTGCGGTGGAGCGAAGCACAGAGCCTGACTCCCCCTCTCCCACAGGCAGCAGAGCCAGAGAGGAGCCCATGGTGAGGCAGGTGTGGGCTGCCTGCTGTGGGATCGGGCAGGGTGGGGAGGCTCCCCACTGCTGCACACACTCCCAGAGGGGCAGGGGGGACCTGTGCTCCCTAGAGCTGTGTGCAGGGTGGGTGGGGATAGAGGCAGGCTCCCAGCTGTGGTGTGCAGCTCCCCACCCTGCTGCCCTCCCTCAGGGCCGCCTCATCCACGCAGGCAGTACTCATTGCAGCAGGGCAGAGTGGGTCTGGACGTGGAAGCTCCTTGCCACTGCGAGCTCTGTGCTGTGCTGATGAGGCATCCCTGCATGTCCCGCAGCAGCAAGGGGCACAAGCCCATGCCACCACCTCTGCCACTGTGGGGCACGCAGGTGATGCCTCATCAGGGCAGCGTGGAGCTTGCAGTAGCAAGGAGCTTCCCTGCCCAGCCCCGCTTTGTCCCTGCCACTCTGGGTACTGCTTGTGGGGTTGCAGAGGCCCTGGGGGAGGGCAGCAGGGTTGGGAGCTCTAGCTTACAGCGGGCAGCCCG